CACTTATAAGGCTGCTGTTCTGAAACCATTTATTCCAGAGCAGGCAATTCAAGTACCGTAATAGGCAATTCAGTGTTATAAATTGTAGGCAATGCAGTGCAATACAAACTCGTGTTGGTTTTATACCACTTGTACTGAGGCTGTGAACTCTATGATGAAGATATTTAACCCTGATCAGACTTTTGAGTTTCTGGAATTCAGTGGGGCAGGGCAATGTCTATTTCAACCTTTTGAAGTCTGTATGAAGTCGAGTTTGTATTGCACTGCATTGTATATTATTCAGGAGCCCCTGGTTTCAGAGCATGAAATGAAACACTTGACAAATGAAAATAGGCTTCAAATATCCTGGATTGCAACTCCCATCAACCCTGCTGGTTGGGAGGATAAGGGTTATAGTCCAAAGTAGGTATTTTGAGAGACCCAGATTAGGAAAGGCTGAAGTCTCTGCCACAAGAGGGATGTGAAAAAATGGTGGCAAATGACCACTGATTGGGTCACACATTGATTCTTGCTTGCATAGAGCATAAAGTGTGGCACTAACCTCCTTTACCAAGTTTGATCCAATTATCACCTGCAAGTCGTCTTGAGAAAGAAAGCCTTCATGCTGGACGGGTGTCAAGTTTAGACCTATCCTTTTCCAGCAGGGGCGTGGGGGTGGGGACTATGGGTACATTCTCCCAATAACTGAATCTGATTTTCTACTTTGATCTTGAGTGATGAAGTTCACATTTGTGCCAGAAATCAACAGCAGCACAACACCCCTGTTTTGTGGATTTAAGCATTATACAATCTCACAAATGTCTACAATCAGAGGACGGGGGCAGAAACATGGCTTCTGGAGGAGACAGAAATATCTGTGAAGCGGGTCCATTGTCACCAGCACTTTCTAGTAGGCACCATGTCTGCTTGCAAATACAGTGGCTTATTTAGGCTTTTTCTCCATGCCCGACATTGCAAAGGTTTTTGGATGCAGCAAGAGGCAGGTAAAAGCACCACCCCCTTATAACTAGGGGTAGGAAAGAAATTCCATTTTAAACCTACCTAATTTGCACTTCCACAAACATTGTGTGAACTGAAACACAACTATCTTTTGAAAGGTGCACTTCTCTAAATGTTGCAATAGGTTCTCCAATGAAAAACTGTATAGAAAAATTAATATATCGAGAGTGTGAGTATATTAGTGCAAATAACATGAAAAAAATGGCTTTTATTAAGGAAAAATGGTTGCAAAATGTGTATATATTTTTTTTTTAGAATGTGCTATTATTTGATTGTTATTTGACTGTTGTTAGCCGCCCTGAGCCCGGCTCGGCTGGGGAGGGCGGGATATAAATAAAATTTATTATTATTATTATTATTATTATTATTATTATTATTATTATATATGTAGAAATGCACTCCAAAATGCGGACGGATAGGTTAAGGATCTTTACAATTTTATAATATGCAGAGAATAACATGTGCTGCAAAGACAATTTTGGAATATGTTTTAACTTCAGCAATCTACTTTAAAATCTTGGGGAGTGGAATTATTTTATTCTGCTTCCCACAAAAACTCAGTATAGCAGTACTGGGCAGTCCCTATTCTCCCATTTCTGCTTGTTGCAAGCTGAACATGGGTAGGACAGGGGTGTCAACTTGAATAAAATATTGTGGGGGCCCAGGAAAGCCCTGCCCCACATAATCGATCACGTGACGCAGTGCACACACACCATTTGAATGGCAATGCCCATCAACTTTGTGGGGGCCTGGCCCCCTCAAATATTTTATTGCAGGGATTGAAGCCCCCAGGGCCCCTAGGAGTTGGCTCCTATGGGGTAGGAGAATCAAGGTAGCAGTGCCTGGATGCAGGTGGTATAGCTCAGGACCAGCTCAGCATTACAAACTTGTCATTCATATACAGAACTAGTTAGCCAAAAATTTCCCAGAAAAGATCCGTTTTCTTTTTCAGGTTTCCCAAGAGCTGAAGGAGAATTTTAGTCATTGCCCCTCCATTTCACCTTCTGGAAATAGGGTAGAGAATTATGAGCACAACTATGAATCCATTTTTAAGAATGTTTAAATTATATTAATAGAACTGAAGAAATCTATGGGTTTGGCTCCTCTTCCTTCCAAATCTCTTCTTTTACCTATTGAATCATCAGCATGAACCAACAATCAAGTCAAGTACTTTATTATGGTCACAGACCAGCATAAGCAAAACATGTAAATAAATAGCATAACAATATGAATCTAAACGAATAATTATTAAATAAATGGGAACAAGAACCAAACGTAGATTTAAAATATACATAAACATATACCTATACATAGAATACTAATTAAGCATAGATAATGAGTGAGTAAAAATTGATAAGAAATATTAAAAGATAGGTTAACACAGCTCTATGGGGTGGGCTTCAGAAGTGCCCGCCAACAGTGTACAGTGGTGCCTCGCAAGACGAAATTAATTCGTTCCGCAAGTTTTTTCTTCTTGCGAGTTTTTCGTCTTGCGAAGCATGGTTTCCCATAGGAATGCATTGAAAATCAATTAATGCGTTCCTAGGGAAACCGCTTGCCAGGCTGGCGGTGCGGAGAAGGGCTTTTCTCCCCACCGCAAGCCTTCAGCACAGGTACGGGAACAGAGGGGAAGGCGCGCAGCGCTTTCCCTCTGTTCCCGGGGCTTGCGTGGGAGGAGGGTTTTTCCTCCCCACCGCCAACATTCAGAACAGCATTCTGAATGTTGGCGGTGGGAAGGAAAACCCTTCTCCCACCCCAAGTCTTCAGGACAGCCATCCGAAGGCTGGCGTGGGGAGAAGGTCTCTCCCCCCCCCCCACGCCAGGCTTCGGTGCATCCTTCAGAGGCTGCTGCCATAGTCACGCGTCACTTCTCCAGCTGGGAGAGGGTCGCGGGGCTATGGCTTCTTTAGCCCCGCGCGCGCTCTCCCGGCTGGAGAGGTGACGCTCGGCTATGGAGGCTCCTGCCATAGGCGCGCGTCACCTGGGAGAGGGTCGCGGGGGGCTGCTTTAGCCCTGCGCGCGCTCTCCCGGCTGGAGAGGTGACGGGCACCTATGGAGGCTCCTGCCATAGGCGCGCGTCACCTGGGAGAGGGTCGCGGGGGGCTGCTTTAGCCCTGCGCGTGCTCTCCCGGCTGGAGAGGTGACGGGCGCCTATGGAGGCTCCTGCCATAGGCGCGCGTCACCTGGGAGAGGGTCGCGGGGGGCTGCTTTAGCCCCGCGCGCGCTCTCCCGGCTGGAGAGGTGACAGGCGCCTATGGAGGCTCCTGCCATAGGCGCGCGTCACTTCTCCAGCCGGGAGAGGGTCGCGGGGGGCTGGTTTAGCCCCGCGCACGCTCTCCCGGCTGGAGAGGTGACGGGCGCCTATGGAGGTTCCTGCCATAGGCGCGCGTCACATCTCCAGCCGGGAGAGGGTCGCGGGGGGTTTCTTTAGCCCCGCGCGCGCTCTCCCGGTTGGAGAGGTGACGCGCACCTATGGAGGCTCCTGCCATAGGCGCGCGTCACCTGGGAGAGGGTCGCGGGGCGCAGGTTTAGCCCCGCGTGCGCTCTCCCGGCTGGAGAGGTGACGGGCGCCTATGGAGGCTCCTGCCATAGGCGCGTGTCACTTCTCCAGCCGGGAGAGGGTCGCGGGGGGCTGGTTTAGCCCCGCGCGCGCTCTCCCGGCTGGAGAGGTGACGGACGCCTATGGAGGTTCCTGCCATAGGCGCGCGTCACATCTCCAGCCGGGAGAGGGTCGCGGGGGGTTTCTTTAGCCCCGCGCGCGCTCTCCCGGTTGGAGAGGTGACGCTCGGCTATGGAGGCTCCTGACATAGGCGCGCGTCACCTGGGAGAGGGTCGCGGGGGGCTGCTTTAGCCCTGCGCGCGCTCTCCCGGCTGGATAGGTGACGCGCGCCTATGGAGGCTCCTGCCATAGGCCCGCGTCACCTGGGAGAGGGTCGCGGCAGGCTGCTTTAGCTTCTTTAGCTTCGGAGCATCCTTCCGAAGCCTGGCGGCGGGAAGAGGTCTCTCCGCCCCGCCGCCAGGCTTCGGAGGAGGTCCGAGGACAGTGGGGAAGACGCGCTGCGCTTCCCCGCTGTCCCGGAGATTTTTCTATGGGCTTTCGTCTTGCGAAGCAAGCCCATAGGGAAATTCGTTTTGCGAAGCGCCTCCAAAACGGAAAACCCTTTCGTCTAGCGGGTTTTTCCGTCTTGCGAGGCGTTCGTCTTGCGGGGTACCACTGTAGTTTCATTCAATATTATCTGCACTGACATTTCTCAGAAGAGTCTCTTGCATTTTCCAAGAAGGTTCTTCTCCAGCCCCTTTTCCTCTCAAATGTTGGACAATTCTGCTCTCCTCCTCAAGGATACTTGATGAGTCCCCCCCGCCTGCCCGCTTTTCACCAATAAGGCAAAAACTTTTGTGAAGCCATTTCTGCTCAGCTCTAAGGAGACCTGCCCCCCGAGAGCATTTCAAGGCACAAGATCTACTGTTAATCCAAACTGAGATTCTACCAGCCCTCCCTCTTAAGTATCACAAGTCTAAAGAGCTACATGACAGAAGAGAAGAGAGTGGCCCTGGCACTCACTCTTGCCTTCATCAAGAAAGCTTAGCATGGAAATTGGAGGCATCGCTGGGTTAATTGCAAAGCCTAAAATATAGATTCCCACGCTAATGAGGTGATGGGGAGGTCTCTGAAGGTACTGAGTTGACAACAGTACTGTGCGTTCCATCTAGCTGTCACTACTGACACTGCAGGAGAGAGAGAGAGAGAGAGAGAGAGAGAGAGAGAGAGAGAGGGAGAGAACACTTCCTACCTTGGGATTGCAGAGAAGATGGAGGAAAGAAACTTTAAGATAATAGGCAGGGGTGCAAACTTGAATAAAATATTGGAGGGACAGGTAAACAACATCCCGCATAATCGATCACATGATGCAGCACGCACGCACGCGCGTGTGTGCGCGCGCGCACACACACACACACACACTTGAATGGCAATGCCCAACTGGGAAGGCAGCCCCCTCAAATCTTTTATTGGGGGGCATAAGGGACCTTGGCTCCTATGATGATAATCCTTCCTTGAAATGAGAGTGTGTGCTTTGGCCCCTCTGAAGGTGCTCATTTTGACATTTGGAGCTCCCGGCATCCGTTAAGACACCTTTGTTTCAGGAGGCCTTTGCAGCAGGACTGCTGTTCCAATGTCCTTTTTCACTTAATGGCAATTCCATCCAGGTTTTCCCTGCAGCTGCTTGTGACTGCGCTGCTTGCCGGCTTCAGCCAAGTGGTGTTTTTTGCAACTTTTTGACAGCCCAGACCTTACAGATGGGGACAGCATTGTTTGCTTCTTGGATCCACCTGCAGTTGGAAAAGCAATTGATACTTCCCCTGTATCCTCATATCTCCAAGGACAGCACCTTGGAGCAGGAGGTCGTGAAGCCATAAGATGTAAACTGGAATCTAATTGCCTGCAAATGAGAAATTAAGTAGACTCATGAATGCCCTGAGCTGGCAAATAGATACTCAGTTGTAATACTAATGCTTGGGAGGGGGTATGAGAGAAATGTAAATGAAATGCCTTGCAAATGATTCTATTATGAAACCAGCTGGCTTCAATAAATCTACAGCTTCCATCAATATTTTGACTACCCTCAGGATTCAATTTTCTGCTCTTAACATAACTCTGTAGCTAGGTTATCTATCACAATTCAGGCTCAATTGATTCATATGTAACACAGATGGTATGTTAACTCCTGGCACTTGTTCCCAATTGATGCTGTAGCTTAGACTACAAGAACCTGATCTAGAATAATTAAAGTGCATTTGTCATAAATAAACAGCATTTCCATTCAAATTCAGGCTGGGGGGGCTTTCACTTGCTAGTATGGAGATTGATTTCTCTTTAGCAAGTGGCTAGCACAAAGCCATGAGATGGACTGGGATGATTTCATCCCATTACGAATAGCAAGTACAGTGGGCTAAGGCTTCAGATGAAGCTCTGGGTGGGGAATTCTGAATATATACATATAATCAGTTACACAAACTACATGACAAATCTTACATCTAGTTTGATGAATCATAGAATCATAGATTTGGAATAGACCACAAGGGCCATCGAGTCCAACCCCCTGCCAAGCAGGAAACACCATCAGAGCACTCCTGACATATGGTTTGTCAAGCCTCTGCTTAAAGACCTCCAAAGAAGGAGACTCCACCACACTCCTTGGCAGCAAATTCCACTGTCGAACAGCTCTTACTGTCAGGAAGTTCTTCCTAATGTTTAGGTGGAATCTTCTTTCTTGTAGTTTGGATCCATTGCTCCGTGTCCGCTTCTCTGGAGCAGCAGAAAACAACCTTTCTCCCTCCTCTATATGACATCCTTTTATATATTTGAACATGGCTATCATATCACCCCTTAACCTCCTCTTCTCCAGGCTAAACATGCCCAGCTCCCTTAGCCGTTCCTCATAAGGCATCGTTTCCAGGCCTTTGACCATTTTGGTTGCCCTCCTCTGGACACGTTCCAGTTTGTCAGTGTCCTTCTTGAACTGTGGTGCCCAGAACTGGACACATGAATGAACTGATGAATGGAGAAGACCATTTATACACTTACTGAATGAAGAATACATAACAACATCATGGTTAAAAATCATAAATTTTACTGATCAAAATCTGAGGTGCCTGCTTAGTTTCCCAGGTCAGAACCCAGAGAAGCAAACTTTGCATTTTTGTGTGGAAAAAGTATGGTATAGTGTTAGAGTGTCAGACTAGGACCTTGGAAACCAGGGTTTAAGCCCCCACTCAGCCATAAAGCTCACTGGGACAGCCTTGGGCACATCTCTCAGCCTAACCTAGATTACATTGCAAGGGTGAAACAGATATTTCCAGGACTTGCCTTGCATTTTGTGATTGTATTTTTTAAAAATTATTAAGTTTAAAAACAGTTTTTAATGTTGTCTTGTAAGTTGCTGTAACCCTTTAGGACATCAGGGTGAAGGGCAGGTAATTAATAATATAATGGCTGTGAAACGTGGAAAACTTGTTGCTCTCAGCAACAAACCCTGGACACATTCTACCAACAATGAACATGTACAGCTCCCAGCCAGTACTCCCAGTAGAAAAAAATAAGGAAGGAATGAAACTTGTTACGAATTTCTCACTTAGAATACTAGGGGAGAATTTAGGGAGATAAGGAGGCTGAGTGAAGGAACCGGGGGAGGAATGAGGAGGAAGATAAATAAATGATGCAACCTTATTGCGTCTCTCTCTCTCTCTCTCTCTCTCTCTCTCACACACACACACACACACATCACATTTATATTCCACTTTCCGCAAAGAGGCTTACAAAGCGTCTCTGAACTTGCCACTGTGAGAATACACACAGTTATTTGCTCGTCCTTTGACAATCAAAAATGGCAGCTTTCCAAAATGCCGCCTAATCAGTACAGCTGTTGAAGGTAATTTATCCAAAGAGAAGGAAGCGATACAACTCTAATTGCTTTTCAAAGTATCTAATCCACAAAAAGCTGTAATGCTTCAAATTAAATGAAGAATGCCATGGAATTGCTGCAGTGCAAGAAGCAAAGATAAAACCGTTTTTGAACAATACACTCACACTGTTCCACGACATCAGAACTGAGGCCACCATAAATATGACTGCCTTAGAATGAGGCTGATATCTTCAAACTTATATTGCTTAAAAGGTATTTATTGCCTTAAAATTCAAAAGCCCGTGGTGTTTGATTTCTTTATTGGCATTCTGTTTCCTCTACTCCAAATACTGAATTTATTTCTAGAAGAATTCAGTGTTTCTTGATTTTTCTGGGAGAGCCTCAGGGCATTGATATGCTCTGGTTTATGTAATCAGCATTAATGTACTCCTGCCTAATGAAAGGACTCCAACGGGCTCTTTGAAGGAAGCGCATTCCCAGGAATAGCTGAAATAGTCAATTAAGGCTTATATGTATACTATACACATTCATATATAGTGAACATGTGATCACTGCTCATTATTACAATGTGAAAAGATACTAAATTCAGTCCTAACATTCTAAGTGCACTTTGAAACAAGGACTGGGGACTCAGCTATACAGCTGCAAATAAAACTTTTCAAGTGTGTTGTAAAGTACATTATACAAATGTGACACTAGATGGCAATGGTGAACTATGGAAAATTCAATATATTTTTCAAAACCTTTTTTTAAAAAAGCATTTTCAAAACTTTTTATATGTGTCTAGATTCCCCCTGGATCACACCAGAGTGTTCATCACGTGTATTATGATGAGGACTTGCATGTGTGAACGGCCTATTCTGATAAACCACCACAACACAAAGAGATGCTTCATATCTCCTCACACCTCTTGCTTTGCTTAGTTTTACTAATGCTATGAATGTACTGACAGTGCTCTGTTGCAGATAGAGCAGCTGGTCTGAAACAAACTTTTAGAAAAACTCAACCAGGTCCTCATATGTCATGAGAATTCTCATCTTTTCAAACAGAGTATTTTTAAAATTGAGTTCACACATCAGCTGCTAGACATTTAAGTTTTGAGTAATCAAGAAATGTACGGTTTTAAATCTATGGCAAGAGGGAATTCTACTTTCATACATGCAAAAACAGAAAGAATACTGAAACCCTATATTATAACGGAAAGAGGTGCAGCAGGTCCCCACAGAAATCATGACACTAAACTAACAGGATACTGATTCCTTTTGCCTGTTTTTTGCTGCTTGCCTGCTCTTGTGGAAAGCAAAGCAACATACAAGATGCTTCAGGGTGTGAGTACCAAAGCTTAGATTTATATTTATTTAATATTTTGATTTTTCAAATCATATTTATTTCTTTGAAAATTGGGGACTTTGATTAGGCTAATTTGCAATGGATCAGAGTAGCATATGTATTTAAATGGTACCAACAGGTGCCTCTGAAGCATTGCTCCCATACATTATTCCTGAAAAGCAAGGATACTTAGGTTCTCTGATTCCTATTAGCTAGAGCTTCAACACCTGCAGGACTCACCGGCCCTTGTGACTGCTTTGGCACCTTACCCACTGCCCACCTCTGGCTATGCACTTATTGGGAAAGCCATCCATCACTTATAATGTCCCACTATGCCCTATCCTAGGCACTTGTTGGCTCATGCTTTCATTGGCAATTTGGGGATGACCCTTAGGAAAGCTCATTCTACAGCAGGTATCTTCAACCTTTCCAAACCCAGGATCCAATCTGAACCCAAATATGCATTTGGGGACCTTTTGTAATCTTTTGCCATATATTTTCATGGTGGTAGTGCTCCTGTTGTGACCCACATTGTTTGAGCCATGATGCTCTAGGTCATGGGTAGGCAAACTAAGGCCTGGGGGCTGGATCCAGCCCAATCGCCTTCTCAATCCAGCCCACAGACAGTCCAGGAATCAGCGTGTTTTTACATGAGTAGAATGTGTCCTTTTATTTAAAATGCAGCTCTGGGTTAATTGTGGGGCATAGGAATTCATTCATCCCCCCCCCCACACAAAATATAGTCCGGCCCCCCACAAGGTCTGAGGGACAGTGGACTGGCCCCCTGCTGAAAAAGTTTGCTGACCGCTGCTCTAGGTCCTGAGCTAGCTTGTCCAGAAACTCAGCTAAGACAGTCACAAGATGCCTGAAGCTGTACCGAAGGGCGGGGGGGGCGGGGGCAATTTCTGCTGACTCACAGAGAATTAACACACCACCCCCAACACAGGTTGGCATGGACCTCATTCAAATTAACCCCATGATGGGAGGAAGGGGTTTTGCCCTCTACCTGCAGGGATCCTTGCAAGAACCTCTCACCACGCACATCCTGCCTCTCATATTGAGACTCTCTTAATCAGTATCTTACATTTATTAGCATACCATAAACTTAGCTCCAGGAAAACCAGTGTTCAGCTTTACCAATGCTTTCTGCAAATTATTCTCTCAGTCACTGTAAAAAAATACAATAATAATAATTGCCCTACTTAACAAGGTAGTCATGAGGACAAAGAAGATCTTCTGTAGTTTTAATGCAATAAGTAATAAAAGTGACAAGAGAATGGATTGCAATTTCAGCTCACATAAATAGTTATATTGCAATTTAACTAATGAAGCAGGGCTGAAAATTCCATGGTTGTTCTGGCTAGATAAAATGTTACCTAATTATTTGGAGCATAAGGCAGTAAATATACTTAGTGACTAATTAGTCGTCTGCTCTAATTAATTTTGGAAACTTTAAAGGATGGCTGGTGAGATGTTTTCTGCTTTTGATTGAAGCATTTTTCATATTTTAGACGGTAAAGTGATTACAACAAGGCTGTTATCTTCCCTGCTCACTGAGACTGCTGAGAAGGCAAACCGTTAGCGCTGTGTTGAAAATTTCAACTGCGTTTTTTACCCCCACCATTCTCCATCAATTAATGAGAAAAGAAAATGCATTCAAAAAGTATCAAAAGGTAGGGGATAATTTTTATGGAATTCTCATAGGGGGTTGGAGGGTCTTTGTTGCCTTACTTTCAAGGCGGCTGGAGCATTTGTCAGTGTCTGCAAATCAGCTCTCTGGTTGTCTGCACTCGGCAGTCTTCCCTGGTGTCCATATTTCCTAAAAACCCCACGACATGCATGGCTGGCCTTTTCTATAAGGAAAGGAGGTGGCCTGCTGTGTGCCTGAAAACTATTCGTTGTGAAACTTCCTTTCAAAATTAAAGCCAGTGAGTGCGCCAATCTCTGTGGCAAACAGGACCACAAGGGCTGAAGTGATGCAGCTGCTGGGGGCAGAAAAATCCCTAGGGTGCCCCCCACCTCCGCCAGACAAGTAAGGAGAGGTGGCAGCTGCGGTCAGCAAGGATGCGATGGGGGCAGGCAACACCTCCCCATTTCACAGGGTGGGCCTGTTCCTTCAGGGGGAGTAGAACCCCTCCAATACGAGCTTGTACATTTAGTCCCCAGACCTGGTAACCACCCACCCACAGCAGCTCCATTTTGTCAGGCTTCTGCCTCTGTTTCTTAGCCCCCATCCAGCCCATCACCAATCCAGCCCCTTCACAGCCTCTCTGCTTGTGAAGGAACAGAGAGGCAGCACTGAGAGCCATCAGCGTCCTGATGGTAATACGCTCCAGATGTCCGAATGACAGCTCTCCCGGCAGTTTTGTATAGATGTTGAATAACAGGAGACACATATGCCACCGTTCCGCAGAATTACCACAGCATGTGCAGAATTCAGGAGCGAAAGCTTTTTCTGTCCTTCTTTCTGAGCATGTTAACTTACCCTTTTGGGTTGCAAATAGATGCTTGGAACTGCATGAGCAATGCCTGTTGGAATCCCTGAAGTGGATTATGGCTCCTGCCTGAACCCCAAGTTTGGCAACGTGAAACAAACTATACAGAACAGTAGAAATGGAAGAATAAGTTAGGCAAAAGCAGAATGGACTAATATGTTCAGAGTGCAGATTTAAAACATTTTTTAGAGCATGCACAGCTCTGCTCATACTTTTGAGATGCACACAGAAGGCAAAAATCACTTTGGCTCCATATTCTCCGTACAGTTAAAGCGCATGCAGGATGCAAAGAAGCATGGGAACTGAAGTTTGTTAAGAATGCTGGGAGTCGTAGCTCTGTGAGGGGATGATTGACAGTTTCCAGAATTCTTTGGAGCGAGGGTGTGCCTTAAATGTATAGTGAGCATGCAACCTTGGCTTCAAAACCAAAAGGGAGGGGGTCTTGTTGGTGCTTAAAATGTTGCTGTTAGCGTGTGTAAGTTTTAAAGTAACTGCAGCAAATGCAGTGTGTGTTGCAATTTCACCTTCGTGATATGATCAAAGAATGGAATTTGGAATCTCCTCTCGCCCCCGAGGTCTCTTCCCTCAGCACACCTGAAATGGTGCCCTTGCTTTTCACTTCCTGTCACAAGTTTCCTTCAATGCACATTTCTTGTTAGGAAGAACAGGTTCAATTCTTTACGTAACTAAAGAAAAGTGCCCACCAATGGAAAACTGAACCATTTGGGTGGGATCTTTGCACTGGTGGAGGAAGAGGAGTGTGGGGGGGAGCAGAGCAATCCTGGTGGGGTGCCATCGCGGCTGCCCCCCCCCCACCGCCCACGCTGGGCACCACGCCCCCCAGGACACGTGCCTTGCCCCAGGACACGCGCCACACCCCTGCGGGCGGCGTGCCCCGTCCCTGGGACGCACGCCAGCCCCGCCCCTGCCTGCTCTCCACCCCAGCCCTCCACTGGATCTTTGGAGCCCTGTGAGCTGAAAGTGTTTTGTTCATATTGGTTGGTTTGATCTGCCTGCTATGGAAGAGTGAAACCCGTCTCTTCTGCTAAGAAGGAAGCAGTAATGAGAGAAAAAACTAGAACAGGATTTCTCTGCTCATGGGCTGGAGGTTCCTTTTGCCTTAGGACAAGGCTGCTAATTAGAACGAGGCAAACACAATGCAAGCTGATTTGTCATACAATATGGGTGTTGTTTTTTCCTCCACCTTGCTTTGGGAACTTGTTGTCACAAAAGAAGCTATTTATGATCAAACTGCCATATAGTGTGCTTTGTACTGCTGTCAGGTTTTTGTAGCGGGTTTTTTTGACAAATCACCCTGGCACAGAGAAGCCCTGGCAGATAAGTGACATATATTTCAGTGACATCTGCTGCCTCTGATTGGATGTGTGACAGTTTGCTTCAGGGTGGCCAGTACCAGTTTTCTATTATTGAGCACTCTGCCTTGCTTTCATTGCTCTTCTGCCTCACATTAGGAAAAGGTAAAAGAGAAGAAAGAACCACCACCCTCCCTGGCCCCTTCTTCCATCAGCTTCATGATCATTAGCTGCACAGTTCTTGTGATCAGTCACAGCCTATACCACCTATTCTGTTCTCATGTAGCATAAAATGTTATCCTTTGCTGTCAGGAAATCATCCAGAGACTGAAATCTGCTCTGGTTTGCCTTCTGCAAAGGCAGCAGGGTTGCAATTGTTGGGGGAAAGAAACCGGTTCCAGCAATGGCTGCAGAATAAATGGAACAGAGGCTTCCCCAGGGGGGCTTGTTGGCTGGTTAAACTGGGAACCTGTAGAGTGCTGTGCAATGAGCAACCTCCAGGCAGAGTCTGCAGCCCGCCCACCCCATAGAAGAGAGGAGCTACTTTAGAAGTCAGGGGCTGAACATGGTAAACCTGATAGTAGCAGATTCCTCTGGTGGGCGCTGAATCCCTACAAGTGTATGGAGGGTGTTTGATGAAGTGGAGAGCTTCTAATGTGAAGCATGCACAGCAGGGCTGGCCCACCCATGAGGCAGGTGGAGGCAGCTGCTTCATGAAGTGGAAGCCCAAGTGGCAGTTCCCCTGTGGTCGCCCCACTGGAGGCAGAGAAGTGGCAGAGGCAACAGCTTCCAGCAAGATCTCATGCAGCTCCCTCCTTCGCCACAGTCCAGGTGAGCAGAGGGACAAGAAGCTGCCGCCGACCCTCCTCTTGCTCTCTGCCCCCAGGTCAGACCTGACCTGGGAACAGAGCTGTGCCCAGGCATGAACGCCATAGCCAAGGAGAGTGGGTGGCAGCTGAGGCTGGTGGCATTGGGCTGTTGCATGAGGAAGTTGCCCCCACAACTCCCTCATGTGCCAGAGTCAGGCTCTGATGAGGGAGCCTGTCGTGGGGGCACCTGGTCACGCCCCCTCAAAAATGCGTTGGGACCACAGCCCTCAGAAGGTGGTAGGCTCTCCCACCTTGGAGGATTTTAAGCAGAAGTTGGATGGCCACCTGACATGTCTGATTTAGTTGCGATTCTTGCATTGCAGGGGTTGGACAAGATGACTCTACAATTTTATGTTTCTATGATTCTATGACTAGGACACGTCATCCACTAACTGGCCATTATGCTATTGAACTCGTCAGTAAAACTGTGTTCTGGCAAGTACCCCGTGTCAGGTGACTGAGAAGCCAATGCCATCCCCACCGATACTGTAGTCCAAAGAACTCCTGATCACTCAGGAGTGCTGTTGATAATGACAGCAATGGACTAACTAATCATTGTTGGAGTTGGCAGCACTGCTCTCCTAGCAGACCATTTGGACTTTTTTACTACTAAGTTTCTGCTAAGTTTCAAAAGCGGCAAAGAAGTCCAGGAGAGAAACCAGTAGGAAACCCATCCAGAGTGGAAAAGATGGGAGAGAGCCAACTAGCACTGGCCAAGGGCGTTCCTGAACTTCCGTTCCATCTCTCACTTATTTCCATCCACAAGAAGGCAGCCGGCAACCACCTGTCCATATATGTATCTGTTTAGTGTACACAGCTAAAGAGAGACCTAATTCAATTACCTTAAATGTCTATAAAATCCTTCTCTAAAAGACATGATGAAGTGAGAACTACTAATAATGCATACAGATCAACCAATGCTTGACAAATGGAGTGAAAGGAAAGAGACAAAAGGGAATGAGTGCCTCTGGCACTGATGTTTTGAAATAAAAGTGCCTTGTAATCTCCATGCGCATAGGGAATTGCTCCTTTCTGTATGCTTTTAACATGCAGAGGTCTTACAGCTGAAAGCAGATTTAAGAGTGCTAGCAGCTTCTGCTAGAAATATAACATGTGAATGGGATGGTATGTAATCAAGAAGGATGGTCATGGTCCTCCAGGTTGGCTGACATGATATATTGTCTTATTCATACAATACATTTGCCTACTTAAACATTGCCCAATATTATTATTATTCATATTATTATTATTACTAATCACCTGTTATGTTACCTACTTCAGAACAGTAAGGACTAAACGCATGTATTGCATGAGGAACTACTGGCTACTAATATCTAGAACTGAGGTGGCCACCCTCAATGCTTTAACCTGTTTTTAGCAGGTTAAAAATCAAATGGTTTCTTTCCCAATTCTCCTCTGTGAGATGCACCTGAAATAATGGCTCTTTAAATGCATAGCACCATGTTTTCCTAAAATATCAGATGTAGCACCTAGCATGCTGGGAAGAAGGTGTTAAGGATACGTGTATGTGTGTGTGTTGTATGTGTTGTGTGGTGTGTGTGTGTGTGTGTGTGTGTGTGTGTGAGCATTAGAACAAAATCTGAAAATAGGGTTGTCCATCAGCCAGAAAAAAGGTCACTGACTGTTCAGGGTTTGTTTTTTGTTTTGTTTTGATGTCTGGGCCACTTGCCAGATTTTTTGTGTGCAAAGTCTAGAAATCTGAGTTGGTGGAAGGATTATTATTTTTTAAGTCAGCTTCTACTTTTTCATTTAGTGCACGTTCTTGAGCAGGGGCATCTTACCCATAGAGGCTAGTGGCGCAGGGCGCCAAGTTCTGGAGGGCACCAGGGAAGAGGCGGGGGCTGGACACGGTGCCTCCCAGCATCAGCTCTCCGCCCTCGCCTGCCTCCGCCATGCTGTGCCGAAGCAGCGCCGCGCCAGGAGCCTCTGTCTGCCATGGCCACCGCTTCACAAAGCGGCCAGCTGACCCAGGAGGTGCCGCGTCCAGCCTCGCCTCTTCCCCGCTGGAGGAGCCGCCCTCCAGCCACTGCCCGCCTCCTCCAGCCCCGGCGGCAGCACCGTCCTCCCTAAAAAACTCTGGGAAATGGGGAGGGGGGCACAGGAGGGAGCTTTGCACCACGGTGCCAGATATGCTTAAGACGGCCCTGTTCTTGAGCCCACGCATGTATGTAAGATGACTAGGTCACTGAGCTCAGTAACAGTGAGCCATTTCACCCTCTACTGCAAGGGAAACAGCCACGTCTGAAGTTCCTTGCTTGCTCCTCCTCAGAGAGCAAAGCGAAAACTCCAATGGCTGGAAGGAAATGGAGGTGGCATTGGCAGTGGGTACATGCAGGAGGTCACAGGTTCAATCCCCACCGGCTGGCTGGCTGGCTGGCTTGCTTACTTAGCCAAACCTTTATTAGGCATTACAAATACAGGCCATCATAAAACATCCATAACAGTATATATAAAAATTAAAATATATACAAATAAACAGCCATGTAAAATATGTAATAACGAGGATTTTCATTGGCATTTTCCCCCGCTATATGGTGCCATTCGCTACTCTAAGAGATACTATTGACAAAAACCAAGCCACCCTTGCAGTCACTTCTGGCTTAATGTCAGACAGATAGAATCTTATACAGTGGTACCTCAGGCTACAGAGACTTCAGGTTACATACGCTTCAGGTTACATACGCTAACCCAAAAATAGTACCTCGGGTTAAGAACTTTGCTTCAGGATAAGAACAGAAATCGTGTGGCGGCAGCAGGAGGCCCCATTAGCTAAAGTGGTGCTTCAGGTTAAGAACAGTTTCAGGTTAAGAACGGACCTCCAGAACGAATTAAGTTCTTAACCAGAGGTACCACTGTATTTTCACTGTGTCGTGATGTTAGACTACCCCAAAAAGGAGGATAACACGTGTTTACACAGCTGGTTGTACAATGGACAGGAGAAAAGGATATATTCTACAGTGTCTGGCACATTCAAAGAACATCCGCAATATCTATCATTTCTGGGGGTGTTTGAATATCTGCCCTTGACAAAAGCCGAGGGGGAAATATTCCATTGGGCTGACATAAAGGCCTTGGGTTGGACTGGAATTACTAATTTTGAGATATAAGTGACACTGTTATCTGTTGTATTTAAACCATAGAACTTGGGGGAGCAAATTTTATTTACAGCTGACTCAATGTTTTGTTTTTCAGTGTCCCTTAATCTGGTATGAATACTGAGATAAATATATTGCTCACTTGAATTATAAAAGAGCTCCAACAAGTCAATACCAATGGATCTGATTTTGCTATGTAAGAGTTGGAGCCATCTGGATTCAAGTAAGTCAGAGTAAAAGACGTTTCAGACCTCTCCTTGTCAGTGATAATAATCCCCCCTGGCATCTCCAGGTGAAGACTGGGAGAGACTCCTGCCCAAAGTCCCAGAGAACTGCTGCCAATCAGTGTGGTCAATATTGAGCTAGGTGGACCGATGGTCTGACTCATAAAAACCTGTGGTTCTTCTGGCTCAACGCAACCTGCCTACTATTCACAGGAGCAGATCTATCCTATTAGCCCAGAGACTTTGCTATCTCTCCCATCCCAGGCTCCATC